TCGTTTCTTCTTACGATATGGTAGCCGAGAACATTTGTGTACAATGTTGTCCAAATCATTAAGGCTGGCTTCATACTGGTCCCGAGGTTTCGGAACGTTCCAGAACAGTTCTGGCACTGTGCCGCATGCAAAGTGTAAAGCTGTCCGGAAATTGATGCGGGTTCATTCGAAAATATGAGAAACATCATTCGATGGAGCAAAGTGACCTTTTCAAAATTGCATTAGAATTCTCGCAGAAAGTTTAGTCTGCGTGGAGTTTAAGAGCGAAAACGAAAAAATCCAAACACCTGAAAATCAGATTTTCGTCTGAAAACATCCTGCGGACTTCCAACTTGTCATATATACTGTTCAACTCAAAACTTCATATGTCAATGGCGATATTTTCTCACGCTTAGAAACTGAGAAGATGAAAAAGTTTGCATGCTCTAGCAAGAGCAATGTTGACCCATTCTGACATAGGTAAGGTCTATACTACAAACCTTTCAAAGTAGAGCCATATATTTTGAGCTTCCTCCAAGGGTTGGTTTCGAGAAATATCAAACTTAGCATAAAAGATCTGAGAAAGGCGATAATTCTACATTCTTGGTCCAATTTGAATTTTCAGTTTTCAGCCACCGTAAAAGTGCGGTGAAGTGCGGTGCATGTGCATGAAAATGTTCGAGGTAGGGAGCGTATACATGACCAAGTTGGAAGTCAGCAAAAACTTCTTAGACAGAGATCTGATTTTTGGGTATTTAATTTTTTGGATTTTGCTTTCAAACTACAGGTAGATCAAACATTTGACGATCGTTCTAATGCAGTCTTGTACAGTCGAGTAGATTTCCTGCTTAATATAGTGTCCCTGCAGACGCGACAACGCTGGGGCGCCAATAAATGCCTTGCGAGTCCCGAGCTAGTGTTTTCCAGGTTTTCTTTGCTTATTTCATGCTTCTTAGTTGATTCGTTGCTGATAAAGAGGAAAAGGGTAGGTTAAAGAGTACTTTCTGTTTTCTGAAAAGTTCTGTCATCGGATATTCACAGACATCCACGTGGAAGCATTTCGCGTCAGCTTCTTGTTTATTTTTTTGTCATTTCCTTTTCTTCTGTCACTTCTTCTTTCAAACCTCCTCCTTCTTGTGAGGCGTTTCTTTGAACGCTAGTTAGCTTGTCTTGCAGCAACTTCGGCTTTCACCCATAAGAAATAGCATTTTAATCGAGTACTTCATGTGATAAAGAAAATAAGTCAGTCGTAAAAACCCACTAGCGTACAAAGAAGTACCTCACAAGAAGAAAGAGACATGAAGTGACAAAAAAAATAGACAAGAAGCTGACGCGAACTGCTTCCACGTGGATATCTATGAATATGCGATGATAGAACTTCTCAGAAAACAGAAACTACTCTCTAACTTACCCTTTTCTTCTTTATCAGCAACGAATCACCTAAAAAGCATAGAATAAGCAAAAAAACACTGGAAAACACTAGCTCGGGAACTCGTCAGGCAATTATTGACGTCCCAGCGTTGTCACGTCTGCAGGGGCACTATATTAAGCAGGAAATCTACTCGACTGTAGAGGTTCCTTTGCTCTACAGAATGATATGCTTTCCATTTTTTATAATGACACTGCCGCGATCGCATAAGGAACCTGCATTAGTTTCCAAACAGCCTAATATAATCCATAATAAGTGTCAGGTTTGAACGTTACGCATAAACGTGGATTTCATGCAACCGACCGATGACACTTTGCCTGATCGAGTTTAACTCATTATAACATTTATCAGCTTTTTACACCACTGTAAATTAATGCTGATTTAGGGTTTATTTATATTTTCAGTAATGGAAGTCGACTCAAAGTAAAATTTTACAATGTCGGAGATCACATTCGAGTTGTGCCGACTTGAGGCGGATATGAACATCTGTACTCCGGAAAATACTTTGCAAGATGAAGATGACGTGGATATAGAGGCGGAAGCAACATCATAATTTACAAGTTCGCGAACAATTTATTGGTCCATTAAATAAGAAGCCAACAGGCGAGGCACTACCTGCCGGTGCCTTCTTTGTTCTCAGGTGAATATGCAAATTTACATTATCTGTTCGGTGTGACTTGTACATGTTCACGACTTGCTTCGCCTTTATGCAAGTTGCTTTGTTTTTAGCTGTGCAGGAAGTTTGTGCGATTACTACTAAGATTCGCACACATCACTGAGATGTTACTCAGTTCTATCACGTATTTTAGAGCAGGAACGGAAGGGCCGCGGTCAAGAATTTTACTTGAAGACCTAGAAATGGTTGCCTTATACAGCGTCGGACTTAGGCGGAGCATGGATTTTCTTCAGGAACCTTTCCACTGTTCAGTTGTCAATTTTAATTTCATACTGTCAAAAACAAACTGATGACGCTTAGACTCTTTATTTCGTAATAATCCGACAGCCAATGAGCTTCCTGAATCATCCTATCTTATTATGCAAGGAGGTATGCGCACGAAAGAAAATCTTCAACGTCGTTGTTCTTTTTTTAGGAAATAGCAGCTCCACGCGGCAGAGTTGTAATCCGCGAGATAACGCAGCTGAATCGTTGATGTGTTCATCTGCCCCGCCTCAGAACTGCGTTATCGGAAATACGATGCATAGCTGTGGGGTCGGACTCACATTCTGAGGAAAGCTTTACGAGAAGTGGGTGGGGTGAGAAGGACGCAGAGGGAGGGGTGAGGTTACCAGCGTGGGTTAAATTGTGCCCATGCACTAAGCTATGAGAGCAATTGTCTGCCTTAAATTCGCAAAATGGCTGGTCGATATGCGCAACGCGTTTGATGCAGTTTTTGAGATTTTTTGCAACTTTTGTATGCGACATACCTCGCACATTGAGATGTAGAAATAATTACTGCTGTCACGAAGATCACTTCATCGACTTGCAATTGATTAAAGAATATTGAAGCAATTGCTGCATGATAAGATATGTAGTTATCTTATAGCTTGAGTAACAAAGCCATTCACACGTTCTAAGCCATTCATACGTTCTATAACACCATCTATGCTTTGTTCCATAGTTTCTATGATGTTATTCTCTTTTGCGTAGTACTGTTGTTATAGTAAAAATCTTATATATGCATCCATTACTGGTTTCTATGTAGTATCTGTCAAGGTAAAAATTTGTTTATATGCATCTATCACAGAGGGCTTAAAAGGCTTTGAAGAAAGAGAAAGGATTTTCAGCTCGTGTTTGGAAGATATTCCTTGTGGCTGAAAAGGAGAACACCGAGAAACTTCGTAAGTTGCCCCGAGTAACTTACCAAAGCACCATGTCACCTGATACTGCAGTCAGATTGCGAAACTACGCAAGTGTAGCGACCTACGAATGGAAAGGATCAGTAAACTTGTTTTCTTTTTCTGCAGAGTTTGATGTTTGTCTGTTGAAGTCTCCATGAACAAGAATTTATTTGATTGCCTCATTCTGGTTTTGTTTCATGAAATTTGATTTCTTGTGAAGATTGCCAAAATGTAATGATTTTGTTTCGCTTGTCCGTTTGATAAGCGAAATTCTTGATAGCGGACATCATCGATTTTGATGGTGGCCTGTCGAAGATTGCAATACAGCAAATTGGGTCTACAAGCCGTCTTGAACCACGACCGCCCGCTTGTATCGCAATCATTTACCAATTTGGCCACGCCTACACAAAGGACTGCTGTTTCTTTTTTTTTTGAAACCGCACCTTTGTTTTGTTTGCATGTCCAAAACATGAGTTGAAATTGAAAAAAAAGTCAAGTATGCAGAGGAAATATATTAAGATGCCTTGATGCTTCGCAAGAAAGCTCATCTGAGCTTATCAGAAAGTCCTGGATTGTAAGCAAGTGACGGGTTACTTAAGAAAAGACATCCTACACGGTTTGTTGTATCTGCTGGCTGGCCACAATTGAGTTAACTTTGGCGCAACATTCTCCACCCATTCCTCTGCTCCATTTTTCACTCAAATGACTATAGTTGTCAATTTTGAGATAGCTAGAGAACTCGCACACCACATCAATCTTATCTAAGGCTCACCAAACTTGATGAGAAGCCCATTTTAGTTAGTTCCAACACATCTCTGTTAGTTCAGAAGAGCACTGGGACGGAGCGAGTATGATTATGTTTACAGATATGCTCACAGAAGTACTTTCGCAAGAAGTTCAAGCTGCCAACTCTCCAAAGTCTTCAAGCTTGACAAGGCGCATCCGGGTTGTCAAATGATGGAGCTTCCAGAGTCTCTATTAGCGGGTCGACTTCTGAAATGTTCTCTGGGCTACTGATTTCGCGTCGAGATAGCTCCTAACTGCGCCGTGTTCGAAGCACACAGCTATTTATATTGGCTCTTCGCACTCGGTCATGCTTTTCGCCGTGCGCGGCAATCTCCCCGAACTTGGAATTCTTTTTTGCATTTTAGCCTGTGGTCAATAAGTCTCCACATCCGTTTGTGCTTATTTCCCCTTCTTTCTCTCGGTTGTAGCAGTTCATTATTCATACCTTTTTTGAGTTTTGTTGTTCTCACTCAAAACTGCAAGAGCGAAGGGTACGGACGATATCGATTATCGCAATCTGAGCGGATGGTAATTGTCATCTTCATAGTTTCTAGTTTTTTTCAACTTAGTGTTTTGTTTCATATGTTTACATTATCTTTCTTCATTCATGTTAGATAGATGGCTGCTTTCGCGGATGCCTTCGTGTAAAGCTTTGCGTGATTGTGAAGGTCTACGAGTCTGAGGCAAATGCTCGCGCATTCAGCTTTCTTGATTTTCTTTTTCCTGTCTAACGTTTTTCTGATAAGATGTTAGCTTTCAGTTACATAGTGTCATTATCATACGAGTGGTTGTTCAAATGATCTGAAGCCTGTGGCGGCAAACGCCGACCTTCACGATCACGCAAAAGCCCTATATACTCTCAGTTTTTTTGCGCTTGATTTTTTTTGATTGCAGCCCAGCGGTATCGAAATGGCAGATCTGTTAGCTCACTTTCTCGCTTAGCAACAAGTTTTATGCGCAGAAGTTGATGATGCGCCGGTTGGAGGAGATACAGCCGCAACTAGGTATGTTTCTAAATGCCTTATTTCTTGCATGGTGTTGGAGAATTGCGTTGTATTGGAACTGTTATAGGAACGGAACAAATTATAGAAACGACGATTGTATTCGCTGATGTCCTACACTTTATGATCAGTACTTTGTTTCAAGTGGAAACGGACCTGGCCTTGTTGAGGGAAGGGTCACCTTCGTTCTGCAGACAAATAGGTTTGAGGACGCTCATGCAGCACTTCGAAATCTCCGCTCACAAGGATCAGGTCAGCTTTTTTTAAATCTCTTCCAATTGCCCACTTTCAATAGCTTTGCAAGGTAACTTTCAAATTTTAAAGCGTATTGGGACTACGCCGCTATTCAACCGCTCCGGTCCCAAAATTTTTCTGCCAGTGATTTTGCTCAGATGTCGTCTAAGGGGCTGACTTGACTTCTGACTTGATCATAAATATCACACTTTCTCCTCACAAAAACGTTTTCTTGTGCTTGGTCATTGTGGGTACTTCAATACGGCAAAATTCTAGATTTGCTCAAAATTTCGCCTAGGGGGGGGGTTATTTGGCACAAGACACACAGACTGTACATGGATTTCATGTTAAATTTGTATGAGGGAGCTTTTCTGGGTTACGGTGGGTGTAAGGTAGATGGCTCAAGATCTCAAACTGAACACAGCTTTGTTTAGAGGATGATTCCGCGCTGAACGTTATACTCTTTTGGCTTTGAGTTTTTGATGGATTTAAAGGTTTATGGTAGTAAGTCAGCTTGTATTTGCCTGAAACTTTGTACAGGGGTTATTTGACATGCTGGCCACGACTATCACACTCATTTGCATGACAAGAGCTTTTCGTGGTTTACTGTGATCTCTGAGTTGACCTGAAAAGCATGAAAGGTGCACATTCATAGACTGCATATTACCATAACTTCCAGAAAGGCGTTTTAGCAGCGAACGAGTATGATATGCGTAATCATCATGCTCAAAACCCTCAGTCAAAGTTGCAAATTTGAAACTTCGATCCATTTACCTTATACACCGTAATTCGAGAAATTGGCGTCACCCCACGAAATCAATGCCTATTTTTGTTCAGCGTGCCAACTGACCCCCTCCTTGATCTCATACCAGCCTAATGTAACTCCATGAGAAGGGCCCCACCATAAAGAGTATCATTTTTATGATTGGCGTGTGGATAACGCGTGTAGGTCAAATTCAAGCCAATCTGTGATTTCGATCCTCCTTTCCCTCCCCCTCCCCCCCCCCCCAGTGCATTCCTACTGCAACTACACGTAAAGGCTTTTTTTGCGGAAATATGTGATAATTGTGAAGATCATGTCAGATCCCTCCCTCTCCTCCCCGCGGACCAAGTTTGAGCAAAGTTCACACAAAATTTTTTTAGGGCCCGGAATAGTCGAATATGGCCGTGTTTTTCGAAATCTTCCTAGAAACTGCTGCTGTTTTTTTTCTTGTTATCCTTTTTGTTCTTATATATCGCGCACTACCATATCAACACGAAAGCCCCTAACATAATGGGGTTTTTTCGCCAAAATACTCAAAATAGTGTTCTGTAATTTTTTTGCAACGGACTTCGGGATGAAGCTGTTGCGCACTCTCCTCCTCAGCCTGGCTCTGACACTCCTAATCTCCGACAACAACATGCACTACAAGGGCAAGAAGGTTACAACAAATGTGAGTTTGTGAAAGAGGCTGAAGTTACGTTGAGCTATTCAACTGTTTTACTGACATTAGATTGGATGTGCGCAAATGTGCGCAATTCGTTTCGAAGAATTCGCAAGATTTTCAGATTTGAAAAGGTTGGTACCGCTGAGAAACCCGGCAGCATACACGTGTGCCAAGTGTGGTAAAGTTCCGATGAAGCGCAGCAATTTATATGGACATTATCGCCTTGTGCACAAAATGAAAAATGAAGACGTTGAGAAGTTGAAGGAGGAGCTAAGAGAAACATCCTGGGAAAGTAGTATTGCCCAGGCATGCAATGCCTGTGTAAAATTGTTTTCTAGCACGGGCTTTGGAAACACAAAAAGGTGACATCGAAAACTGACTAATATCTCTCCCTCATCTTGATCCAATATCCTTTTATGCACCAACACTGTATCGTGAAAAAAACTGTTTCTTGCCTTACTTGCTCGGAGAATTGTACCGTGGAAAACTTAGCGATGCATTGCAATGCCCCGCCATGACAATGAAGACGGCACGAACAACTTCACTGTGAATACTGGAATTTCTGGGAGTACAATCGAGTTTGAGGTTGTTTGATTTTCTAATTGCACTGAACTAGAGAGTGCGATAGCAGTTAAGATGTGGCTGGACGATATCGAACACATAACATATACAAATTACTCCACTCGTCATTTGCACTCCCGAGGAAGGGTAGTGTATTTTGCGACTGGCTACCCTGCATGTATCAGACGACGCGGGTGTAGGCTTCCCCGTAGTCTTCATTCTATCTCAAAAAATGGCTAGCTCCGACTTACGAGAGCTCTTTCTACTAGTGAAAATATGTGCTTACTGCTACGCCATTACGTAAGACAGTTACCGAACTTTACGGGATATCGTCCCATACATTGACGCGCAGTCTATAATGTTAGATGAAAACTACTGCTTTATAATTTTCCATGGCGTTTTTCCTCAGAGCAAAGCCCAAAAATTCTTTGTATTATAAATTTAAGTTGGCAAAGCCATAGAAGGAAATCTCAGAAAACATTTCACGGTAAGTTTAGGCGAAGCGTACATGTTTTATGCTTTTTTTGTAATCTGCCAAGGGTGCCATTCAGAACAAGGAAGCCACGATTGTGGCAGCAGTTTTTCGCAACATGCTGAGAAAACCTCTAGTGAGCAGCTTCCAGGAGTCATGCGAGCAGTTCATCGCATGATTAATGCAGGAAAATCCAGCTATACACAAGGAACACCCTAATCTTCCAACCCTAAAAAGCTGTCACTTGTTTCAGTATATGCAGCACTATTATACAGAGAGGAAAGTTGAGTGGACAAACTGCTATCGTTTGCCAATACATTCAACACTTCTAATCATGCTGAGGCACTTCATGCCTCCCTCAAGCACCAAGTATTGAAAAAAAAACAGAACAACAGAGTGGATCACCTCGTCTTTGCTCTATTGGAGCACGTCAACGAACTGGAGAACCGGAAATCAAACACATCTCGCAGATACAATGATGTAGTGAACATTATTCATGGGAGAGCAAGCTTGCATTATTGTCTGATCAAGGTACTCACAAAGAAACGATACTTGGTGTCCGTGGCCTTTGGAGATATGATGTATACCATTTCACTCGTCTTGGAGCGCTGATTCCGAATCTGACTTCCCTTTTTGCTACTCGTTTCTCGGAAAAAAGTTATGAACGGTTTTCGCGCGAAAGGAGATATCGTCGAAATGCCAAAACTGCCGCTGAGACGTGGTGTAGTGGCTAGTGCGATAGCCTCGCAAGTTGATGCAGTTTAAGTTCGAGTCCTGTGTTTTTCAGTTTTGCATTGCCTCAATCAAGCTTCTTTTTGAAAGTTAGGCATCTTCGACCGCATTTCTCTTAGGCGATCATTGAAGCGAAAATCCTTTATAACTTCTTTTGAAGGAACGATTAGCAGAAACGGAAGTCAACTCGGAATCAGCGTCCCAAGACGAATGTCATGGTATACGTTTCATCTCAAAAGGCCACGGACATCAAGTATCGTTTCCTCGTCAGAACAAGAAAATGTTCTGGAAGGAACTCATAGACAATAAAACGACACAAGGAGGCTCTCATGTACTACACTGGCACGGTGAGATCGCTCATTGGAGTTGTTTTATAACCAGCTCTGCAGTCACAGCACATAATTCACTGTACCAATAGGACTGGACTTGAACATCCTTTCGAGTTCTGTACTGTTCAATCCAGAACTTCGGAAGATGTTCGATACGAAGTCACGATAGTCGCATGCGATTGTGATGAAAAGGTCAGCCAAAAGATGATGTTCCCACATCTGAAGCGGGTTATCTTCATGACTACAAAACAATTTGCACTGCGAAAGATGCGGGGCATGTGCGATGACATGCACATGCCTCGACTTTGTCATATCGCTGGTGTAGCCTGCGTCTACCGCCACGCGGTTGCCACCTTCAACGTTAAAGGTAGATGCGTATTTACACTTTTGTTTGAAAAGAAGAGATTTTCGGCTTGCAATATACTGCCTGTACCGCGTAATTGGCTCTCCTCAAGCATTGCAGTCATGGCCCTACCTAGTCCATATGCATTCGAAAACGTCGAAAAAATCATACCCGCGGCTGATATATATACGTCCGATGACTACTTTGATCTGCATAATAGCGCAACATCATCGACAATCGAAAATTGTCCTTCAGTCGATCTCCAGGGCAGAGCAAAGGAAGAGTTCGAACAACTTGACACTGTATGTACTACTCCATTCAAAATCCCTTTCAATCAGTAAGTATAGCTAGTCTCCCGAATATATAAAGAAATGAAGAGTTCAATGAATAACAACGACCCGGAGCGCATTGAGTGATGAGGTAATCTATTGAAAAGGCGTTGGAAGAAATTCGGCCAGGTAGCTTCAAAGCTAAATTGGTCACAAGAGTGAGCATGCAGAAAGATGGTAAGAAATCCGCACTTCACCAATACAGGCTTTCAAGACGGTATGTAAGTCATTTTCCAAAGTCGCACTAAATTGTGGTAATTTTCAGAAGAAAAGAATTCTACGAGAGAAGAACGAGTTATCTGCGAACATTTTATTTGTCACTGTCGTCGCTTCTTCATCGGTATCCGTATGTTAGCATTTTTCTTGTGCACTGTTTCGCCAATTTGAGGCCCTCTCTCGCTTTGACTACCTGGTGAGTCTAAACTTCCCCAAATTTTTCATCCATTTTGTTGCCGTGATTAAGGGGCATTTGTTCACAGCAGTTGTGTTCCCATCCGTTTCAATCATAGAGTTGTATTTTAGCGTGCGTACAAGATTCCATCATTCGGACTTATCGTAATGGTTGTTTAAATGTGGTTGAGCTTGCAAATGAAATGCATAAATAGAAATAAGTTTATTCTGTATAGATACAAATTGTATGAAAAACGAAAAATGAACTCTTAACTGAAATATTGCAAGTACTATAACAAATCTTATACATAATAATTATTCAACCGTAAAGTCATAAAGCCTATAAAAATGGAAATGTGAGCTAATAATGAACAATATAAACAATAATAGTTTGATATAAAAATTTGGTAACTTTATTTATCTATTACATCTTTTGATGCGGCTTTATGATAGGATCAAAGTATCAAAAAGTAATTCATGCTACATTTTTATACAAATCTTATATATAAAGCTGAATGTTTGTTTGTCTGTCTGTATGTCTGTCTGTACGTATGTTCCGAATAGAAAATTCCATTTCTGAACCGATCGGGACCAAACTTAGCACACATACACTTCGGGCCCCGGAGGGTGTCATAGGCTACTTTTCGTCATCGATCGATATCGATTTTATCGATTTTTTGCAAAATTTGAGCTACGGGGCTGGGAGTTGGCACAGGGGGGTAATCGAGCATGCTGATCACCCCCGTGGAGGTGATCAGCATGCTTACACTCGATTTCGATTACACCTCTCTGCCAAATTCCAGCCGCCCAGCTCAAATTTTGCAAAAAATCGATAAAATCGACATCGATCGATAACGAAAAGTGGACTGTGACACCCGCCGGGGCCCGAAGTGTATGTGTGCTAAGTTTGGTCCGGATCGGTTAAGAATGGAATTTTCTATTCGGAACATACGGCGGAGCCGGGTAAGCCAGCTAGTTTTACATAAATTCAACTTAAGTATTGTAGTTAACCATAATATTAAAAATATTCTAAATACCAATTTTTTAATTGATGCTAGGTCTTTCTGCCTTCTTGAGGGGTTCCGGGGAAGACCTAGTGATCAAATCAAACTCCGTCTAGGGGAAGGATCGAAACGGAGTCAAAAGGTAGCACATACAATTCATCTTTACTGTTAATCAGCCAACCTAAATGGACTTCTTTCGATCCTGCAACTGGATTTCTTTCAATCCTTGAACTGACTTCCCTTGCTTTTTTCCCATTATTTCGTCACCACATGTACGAAATCTTCAACGGATAGCAGCTCATGCGACAGGCTACCTGATTTGTACAACGTAGGTTTGAAGTGTCGTTTGTGTACGCAAATTCGATCTCATAGCCAGTTATGTCGTACGATTGCAGTCAATGGTCCTTATCACCCGGGAGGTCTCGCCTAATGAATTTGATGTGTTCTTACCCCATTAGCGCCTACAAGAGCTATTGTGGTACAACATAAGCATAATTCTGAAAGAGAATGCACTCTGACCGTTATGTCAAAGTCGCTTTATTGATGAGGTATGCTAACGATTGCTTGAACATAAATGTTTGCGTGAGTTAAGGGATCTAGGAAGTACGTAGGAAACGGTGGTGTGTTGTGGCATGAAGTACAAAACTGATCAAGTTTTTTATCAGAGACCATCTTTTTTCACTTTTCTTTTCACGGGTATGCGTAAACTAGTATAGTTCACCATGTATCCTTTGAAGTGTAGCAACGAAAGTTTTGCACAGCGAACGTTCAGTGTTGCAGGCGTTTCATTTTCAGGTATACAGGTCCAGTCAAAAAAGAGATGAGGTTACTTTGGCCGCTATACGGTGTGGTTCAGCTTCATAAGATATGTTTTCAAAACTTTAACAACAACAATGCATTGCGAGACTTGCTGTTTTTTCCAAAATAATATATTCTGATAATTTATTCTACATACTTGCTTTTGCATGTTGATGGAAGCTTCAATTGTGTCATGTTTTCCTACTAGTTTTCTTTTAGTGATTGCGAGCTTTTGGATGTAATGTGGACTTAATGTTGCCTATACTCAGCACTGGAAAAGTCTATACCCATTAGCCTTTACAAGGTAGCAGAGTTCATCGCCTTTTTATTTACTGATAAAGTAGCTCTCCAGAAGAAAGCGATTCACATCCGACGACAGCAGCTATCTGAAAGAAAATTGGAGTTGTATCACATGATTTTCAAGGTGGGTAACCGTAACTTTCTTTCGTTCTTGGCTAGTGTCATGCTTAGGACGTCCGCATCCAATCAAAATTCGAAGTGGGACCCGAAATGCTAAATCAAGCGCCGGTTTAACGAGCTAAGGAGCGACCAGCACAAGTTTGTATGTGTTTGCTGGATAAATGCGGTTGTCGAGCTAATTTTGGTGTTCGAGAGGCAAACCGCTGTACCGCAAAAGTTTTGCATTGCGCTTTTGCTGAAACCTGCGTTATCGGATTAGATACGCTTCAACGCGCAACTGTCACTCCTGAGGCCATCTGTGAGTCGAAGTATCAAGACTTGCCCACGTCCGATAAAGCTGTAGATTCGCGTAAATGTGATAAGTATATACGCCTATGATGTTTTTGTTTTGAAGGCAGTGTCCAGGCTTAACCTAATCCCCTCCGATTAATGTCGATCCTGAATGTAGGCCCCAGAAAAGGGGCATCTACGTTGGTCCGGTCTTCTAACGTTGTCTCTGAATGGAGATAAGGTTCCTGGAAGTCCCTGGCTGGGCGGAGTCTGATATCAGACTCTGCCTCTCGACACATACTGACATGGCAGTGAGCAGAAGCTGCACCCATGCAGTTGCAACTCCTCCCCGCTGACATGCTGACGAGGACGAACGATTCGAAACTCGTCCGCGCCCCCAAGACAGAGTCCCTAGGAATCGGGTTTTTTGTGAATTTTGGAGAGTTTGAAGTTCGGAACTGTAATCAGGGCCAAGGAAAGGCCCCAGAATGACGAAAACATGGCTGGCCAAATTCTGCCGACGCTGCCTTTAAGCTTCTTATATCCCTCGCAAAACTTGTATCACATCTTTGTTCATTTCCGGAACTAGGACCCAAGATGGTACACTATTTGCAATGAGATAAACGGCATCGTTGTTGATACGCATGTCCATCAAATTGGGAACAGGCCAAAACGCAACATCGGGCTGTGCGAAGACGTGTGACTATTTGCAAGCTGTAAAACCCCTTTTTTAGCATCTTGTAAGTATCCATTGTTGAGATAATTCTTGGTCACGCTCGCGTTTCACTGTATATATCTAGCTTTCATTCCATCCTGTGTGTTCTTTATATTTCTAACCTCAATATAGTCCTTTTTAAGTCATCGCCATGTATTGAACCACATATTGGAGACTTAGACTAACGCCTTATACTCTGATCATGAACTTGATCCCTTCTGCACATGTCCACTCTTCATTATGTACCTTTCAGTTTGGAGTTTCATGCATGGTCGGGTATCTAATTGAGCTTCCACAGACCAAGAACTTCCAGTCTTAAACTTCCAAAAGGTATTGTTAAAATGGAGCTACGGCATGTTTTATGTTTTTCTAACTCTGCTTCCTTTTCACTAAGAGATACTTGTAATTGCTGTAATGAATCTAATAAAGAGGATGCGACTAGACTGAGTGTCTGCACAGTCATGGATATGCGTTTGTATATTGTTGAGATTCAACATGGACGGCTGGCGGTAGCTCGCGGTTAAGTTCGGAATAATTAACGCGCTCTAGCGAAAAGCATAACGAGTGCAAAGTGAGCCAAAGTACAATGCGTTCGACGGGGCCAGCGCCGCGTAGTGCAGTCACACACCTGCGCGCGAGCGCTACCGTGGGCTGCAGCGTGCAGGTGCATCCTGTCGCCAAAGCCGCGTGGCCCTTGATCTAGCCATTCTTCCTTCTTCTTTCTTAGCTTATACGCTGTCCTGCATCCAAATGTCTGAGCTTTTCCTGTCTAAAACTCTACTTCGGTGCTCCTTCCGAGATCTCTCAGTAACCGCGCGAATGGAAGACAAAATGGAGGTTTGAGGTCTTTCAAAGAAAATGTAATTGAATCATTTCATTTGAAAATTTTGAAAACGCTTTGTGCTCTCCCTCCTTACAGCTAAGAGTTATATCGTAAGTTGTAATCGTGTATCGTGTAGGTTGAGAGAACTTTGAGTGAACAGCACGTTGGTGCTGTTCAGTCAAACTTAAACGATATACGATTACGTTCGTTGAAACACGAGTCGATATGAATTATGACGTCCGGAACCAGCCTTCCGAAGAAGGCCTGGATGAAGTGAAAGATGTCATAAAGAAAAACGCTCAAGAAGTTGATACCTCCTTCCTTTGGTGCAAAAAACCATATCTGGTATCAAGACAGATCGCATAAAAGCATAGAAGCAATAATAATGATAATCCGCTGCTGCAAAAACGGTACAACGACAAAACAAGGCCCGCGATGTTCTGCGCAGGGACCATGTCCTACGGTAACCTCGCGCTTAGATGTGTGACTGCACTACGCGGCTCGCTTCGTTAAACGCATTGTAAGTAGCTGTTTGCCTCGAATACGTCCTTAACTGCAGTTTTGTAGAATTCTGTTGAGGGGAGCTCAACCT